AATGGTGGATAAAAAAATCAGTTATTAGAGTTGAGAACATAATCGGAGAAGGGTTTGTTCTCAATACAGGGAAAGACTAAAAACAATCAGATGATATGGAGAAGAGAGATCCAACTCACATATAATAGGTTTGGTACTTTTTTTTTTAATAGAATACAAAATACAATCAATGACATAGCTAAACAAAGCTTTGGAGAATAGGGAAGTGAGGAACTATATGGGCTCACTGTGACCCAGAAAACAATAAGGAAATATATCCACCTTTAAGAACACCCTAGCAAATCTTTTTAATTATAAAGATGAAGAAACAATCCTAAAGTATTGAGAAGATATTTTAAGTTAGATTTTTCTATTTTAAAAAAATCAGAATCAGTTTTAAAAATTAGAGAATCTGTGTAACAAAAATTTGAGATAATGGACTAAATGGTGTATTAAGAAAAGATTGCAACTTAAAAAGTTTATATTTAGTCTGGTATTTCACTCATGTAAGAAGAAAACAGATATAGGGGCACCTGGGTGGCTCAGTCGGTTAAGTGTCTGCCTTCGGCTCAGATCATGATCCCAGGGTCCTGGGGTCGAGCCCCACATCGGGCTCCCTGCTCGGCGGGAAGCCTGCTTCTCCCTCTCCCACTGTCCCTGCTTGTGTTCCCTCTCTCACTGTGTCTCCCTCTGTCAAATAAGTAAAATCTTTAAACAAAAAAAAAAAAAAGAAGAAGAAAGATATAATCTTTGGATATCTAAGGTTTTAGAAAAGATGGAATTTCTGTGTATATCATGAAAGTATTACCCAAAAGATATTCTAAGTAAATGAGAGACTAAGCAAAATAAAAAGTTCAAAGAGAACTTACGGTATTAAAGAATTTGCGGTGAATAATGAATTCAATAAAACATGGAATTGCATTTAAGTAATTACTGTAAATTTATTTATGAAATGTGAATGTTAAATATTGGTGATAAAAAGTAGGTAATGCAGCAAATCATAGTTTTATTGCAATAATCTGGGTCTGGTGCTCAGATAATATAAAATTGTCTAGGAACTAGGAGAAAATGCAAAACCATAATCATTCCCTTTCATTCATGATTTAGTAATCAAAAAATATATATAAGGTAAACAGTATCTCTGAAATGTGAACGTAAAATATTGGTGATAAAAAATAGGTAATGCAGCAAATCATAATTTTATTGCAATAATCTGGGTCTGACTCAAGTTTAGTCAAGGGAGGAACTCTGGTGATATGCAGCCCTAAGTTCAAGAGATGGGGATACTTTGTTGGGAACTTCCAAATAATTCAACACTCCAAGTATTTTGTAATTCACTCATGTGGCCCAGAGTTAATTTACCTGCTAGTTCCTTAGCTGTGGACCAAAAAACTAACTTCAGATGTAAATCTTGGTCACTGGGTTTTTAAGTTCTATTACTGACAAGTTTTTTTCAATTACAAAATAATTTGGTAAGATGGTACGGTATGATATGGCATTGGTACAGTGTATATAGCATGGCTTGGAATGGTTTGTATTCCATGGGGAAGGCTCTTGGCAAAGTGGGAGAAAGTTTCTTACTTTAAAAACGATACAGGGGCGCCTGGGTGGCTCAGTCAGTTAAGCGTCTGCCTTCAGGTCAGGTCAGGATCCCAGCGTTCTAGGATTGAGCCCCGCATCGGGCTCCCTGCTCAGGTGCTCAGCGGGGAGTCTGCTTCTCCCTCTCCCTCTCCTTCTGCCCTTCCCCACCCCCCGCTCATGTTCTCCCTCTTTCTCTCTCTCAAATAAATAAATAAAATCTTAAAAAAATTTTTAAATACAGTATTATCACAGAAAGCTGAAATTAGAAAAAAGTAATCTCTGATATTATCACAATCGAACAACTTGTATCATCTCAAGATAGTTTCCTTCCATGCTTTATTTTATGAACAACATTTTTACTGTATATACAAATTTGTATTATGCTTCTGTACTTATTATATAGTAAGTACTTTCTATGTTGCCACATGGTCTTTCTTTTCACATGATCTTTTTAATTATTATTATTTTAATAACTACTTAATATTTATTAAGTAAATATTTCATATTTTAAATTCTTTGTTGTTGGGCAATCAAGTTGTTTCCTTTCAAATTTTCAGTAAAAAATGTTCTTCTAGCCAGTCATTCAGTAATAGAAATAATTTTAATGAAAAGCTCAGTTACTTTCTTACCTAAAGATTCATACACTCACCACAGCAGTGTTACTTGATGTTTTTATTTGATCAAATAGAAAATCTTGTAAAGAGAAACTGATCCAAAAGGAACTAAAACTCTAGAAACTATAGTTTGTCTTGAAGCTTTTACATTAAGAGACCAAGAGTCTGCAATACGTACGGTTAGCAATCTGACAAATGCTTTTCAACAACAATTATGTTAAACTCATACTAAATTTCATGAAAATAAACTAATAATAAATATAAATTTGGGGAGGAAAGAAAAAAAAAACTTTCCATCCCCCTTAAAACAGTAATCTAAACGAATTAAAGCAATTCTGCACACCCTACTAAAAATTAGAGGTTGCACTTTTTGGTTTGACTAGTCTACCCTCAGGAGAAAAGATGGCAAAGTGCCTAAATCATTTTGTTTTGCAACTTGTCATGGCTAATAATGATTTATCAAGACAGTTTGCTTTAATCTTTTTAGTGGGGAGGGGGGATGGGTGAGTAAAAGCTGAAGTATGTAAACTTAGTAAACAGCTCACTTCCAGAACTTGCTCTATTTAGAACTCCTGCTGCTCCTAACTTTTGTTCTTTTGTTCTCTCTGCACAACCACGCAAGACCGAACTCCGCCCCCCCCAAAAAAGTCATCTTACTTACATTTTGGTAGCGAGAATTTGAAAGATGAAGAGGTAATTGAAATGAATATTGTTAAGATGATTCAGTATTTTTTTGAATTCAGCTGACCCTGCACATAGAGCAAAACAAGCTGGTAGGGTTTTCCAGGAAGACTTTCCTTGAGACGACTTCAACAAAACCAGAAAATCCAGCTGCATAGGTTACTTGAGATAAAAATGCATTCACACTTAGTCAAAGGGAAGACACAAGTAAGGGGCTAGTGGAATATCTTAGCTATTAAATGATGGCGCTAAACTTCCATACTCTGGCAGAAATGGCACATAGAATTCTTTTGCAAACTGCATCTCCCAGATTGGAGGCACCTATAAAAAGCAAATGGTATAAGAATTAAGATCGCAGTTGTTATCTGTGCTTTTGGCTGCTGAACCAGTGAGCCCTCTGGCTGACTTGTGCTTCTCCAATTCTCCTGGGATTTCATGCTCTGTCATCCCTGAAGAAAAAGATTTAGAGTGTAGAATCTGTTGACATCTTGTTAGTTCTGGGGGAATAGGACTTCTGAAGAGAAAAGACAAGCTGAGAAAACCCCCATAGGAATCAGAATGATTGGCCATGGAGCAATTTTACGTGTATGTGAATCTTTTCAGAAGGGAACCCTCTCTGTGTCCCCGTTCCAAGATTCCCTGTTAGAATCCTTCTCAAAACCAAGAAAGCCGGTAAAGGTCATTCCAAGACAGCCCCAAGGCTCAAGTCCCCTTGAAATACTTAAAACCTGCTATGAAGTACTTGAAATGTCTCTTTTCCAGACTAACCAATCCAAATACTATCAATGAATCCTTATCATTGTAAAATGTGAGCGGCGCCTGGGTGGCTCAGTCAGTGAAGCATCCGGCTCTTGATGTCAGCTCAGGTCATGATCTCGGGGTTGTGAGATCAATCCCTATGTTGGGCTCCCATCTCGGTAGGGAGTCTGCTTGAGATTCTCTCTCTCCCTCTCCCTCTGCCCCTCCCCTTACTCATGCACATGCCCTTTCTCCCTCTAAAATAAATAAATAAATCTTTAAAAAAATTTTTGAATGCCCTCCATTTCCTAAGTCCTTGTCTATCTGGTGTAGTGACAGTCTAGTTGATCTATATCTTTGTTGAAGATGGGCTCCCAGTAATGAGCAATGATTCAGGGACAGCAAACCAGGACACAGCTGGACAGGATTACCTATTCTTTCGTTCAAGACTCTGTGGACATATTTAGATTTGATACTGCATGAGGCATACACTGCTGAGGAGTTACCCAATCCCTCCTGAGACAATACGATACATAGGTTGGACTTGTTAAAGAAGGTACAAACTCAGATGAGTTCTGTGGCCAGGCAGGTAGCAAGTGAGATGCCATCCAGGGACCATATGGAGTGACAGGGATTGGGGTAGTCTGGAGAGCACAGAGCATCCTTACAAGCATGCAGCCTCTTTTCTGTCTTTAAACACTACATGGGACAAATAAAGCACCGAACTCACCCATGGTCTGTGGTTTGTTACTACTGTACCTTGGGCTGGTCTGTGGTGTGGCTTTAGCTGCAGCACATGGGAAACTGGACCATCCAATGTTCTTATTGTGCTGAGCAAAATAAACTCTTTTGGGAAGAGAACAGTGCATTACAAAATGAGCAGCAATTGCTTGTTTTAAATTTTTCAGAAGTAACGTTGTCAATGCTCCTAAACCTCTTGTGACACTTGGATGTTGTTAGATCTCCTTTCCCAAAGCTACAGAGATTATGTTTATTCCACAAATATTTATCATTGATAATAATGTTACTATTTACTTAGCTTACTGAGTGACAGGCACTATGCTAAGTGTTTTGTGCACATGATTAAAAATAATCCTCACAAAAAGAACATGAAATTGGCACTGCCCACAACTAGTACAATGCAGAAATTTACTACTGTTCTTTCTCTGATTCTCCCTTTTTCTTCCCCCAGTGATGACACACGTTGTTTTTACCCATAACACTAGGTACCAGGCACAACAATCCTTAGAAAGAAACTCATTAAAAATTTTGTACTGATTTATTCTGTAACTGCTTGTAGACTGGCAGGAACAAGAAACTCAACTGATTTGTTTTTAGAGTGCTTTTCTTTTTTTTCCAATTGTCATATATTGTCTTCTTGTTAAAACATTTCCCCTCATCTTGTAGACAGAGCTCGGAGGGAAAGTCAAGCCTTTTCCACTGTGGACTGTCTTGCTGCTGGGCAGGAAGAACTCATCCTCTTGCAGGAGAAGGTCAAAAATGGGAAACTATCTGTGGATGAAGCCCTAGAGAAATTTAAACATTGGCAGATGGGAAAGACTGAGCTGGAGATGATTCAGCAGGTAATACTGACCCCAATCCCTTCTGGAACATTCACTCACTTGCAGAGCCTCTCTATAAATGTCTTTATGAGAAACACAGATAACTGTTCTTTTGATTTTAACTAGCCACAAAAAAAGATGTTTTTGAACTACCAATTAAACGTTTCATGTCTACAAACCATTGGTGAACTCAACGCTGGGACTCAGTGTATCAGTGCTAATACCTGATCATCTTATAAGGCTATGTGAATGTTTTGTGAATCTCATTGCTGAAATTAAGGTGAAGCATCTTTACACCGACATGTGCTCAGCATTCTGAAGAGTATATTATGTTGAGCAGGCTTAAAGGGAACAAGAAAATAATTTAAATCATATCAGGCAATAGTCCTCAAGGAAATATAGTAAGTTTTCTCTGCTCTTGCCCTTAACCTTTGGGGGGGGAAAAACTGTATATATCAGTCAAGATTTACAGACAAATGCGGCCAAGAGTATTAACTTCAGATAAGCTTGTCTTCTATTAATATAACATACATCCTAAGAGGGTATTAGAGTAGGTGGTTCTGAGATGAGCCTGAAAACAAAATATACCATATATACCCCATGACATTCCTCAGTGAGGGGTATCAAGACCATATTCTGTTTTATCCTGCAGGCCCTCCTACTCCCAAAATAGTCCAACAGTTTTTTTTCTTCTCATCACAGAAAGCCCCAGTGCCATAGAAACCAGCTCTCAGGAAACTGTTTGATTAAACACATTTAATTAGCTAGTTTAGGCCAAAGTACAAACAATCATCAATAACTTAATACATACCTTTCCCAAGAGATCATTTTTATTGAAAAACAATGCTTAGGAACACATTTTTAAACAACAGAAAAATGAATCCCAGTGATAACATTCCAAATAAGCGGGCATAGAGGAGGAAGATAGTTCAGGCAAGGGGACTTTCCCAGCACCTCTGAGATCACTCCTTCTCAGAATCCACCTGTCTTGAAGTGCAGCTCTGGCTGTGGGCAGTGGCTGGACCTGAGCCAGGTTTTGCAGTGCCAAGCAAGGGCAGTTGTTTTGCCAAACAAATGGGAAAAAATGCTGATTGTACAGTTTTGCGACTGATCATCATTCATGATCAGAATGACAACATTGCTTCTCAATCCGTGCTGATGCCATCACCGTCAAAGTCGCTCTTATCCTGAAACAGGTAAACCGTGCTGAGGTGTAGGCCTACACAATCACTCTCCTAGCATTGCCAGCAAGTTTTGTTGAAATAAGTCAGTTGCGCCTCATTCTCTTAGATCATAACAAAGCTTACAATTTAGAGTGATCCAACCGAAATACCTTCTTGGAAATTATTTGACTAATTGTTTTATTAAAGGCTTGGTTGTTTTTATTTTGTTTGTGTATTTATATTTAATACTGTTTTAGAAAGAATTTAAGGTGGCCTCTGACTACTTTGAGACGATCTGACTTGTCCAATATATGAGGAAAATGGGATATTGAATACGGTTACTGCTTATGCAAGACAAAACAAAATTTAACCTGTAAATACAAGAACAAACACTAAGGCTGTTTTCCATTAGAGCCGAAAGTTCAGTGACTGACTGAATACTGTTTGACGATCAGTCAGTCCTTTTCCTTTTTTATGTCTCCAGCTTTAGTGAGATATAATTGGCTCTAATGCTGGGTAAATTTAAGGTGTACTACAGTGTTGATTTCACACACTTACATATGATTACCACCATAGTGTTAGCTAACATCTCCATCATGTCACAAAATGACCATTTCTGTATTGGGGCGACAACATTTAATAGCTTCTCTCTTAGCAACTTCCCAGTGTATAACGTGGTATTGTTTACTGTGATCTCCGTGCTGTACCTTGGATCACCAGAACTTATTTATCTTATACCTGGAAGTTTGTACCCTTTGACCAACTTCTCCCCTTCCCCTCCACTCCCCGGTCCCTGGTAACCACCCCTCTACTCACTGAGTTCAGCTTTTTTAGATTCCACATATAAATGTTATCGTACCATGTTTGTCTTTCTCTCTCTGACTTTTTTCACCTAGGATAATGCCCTCAAGGTCCATTCATGTTGTCACAGATCGCAGGATTTCCTTCTTCCTTAATCCATTCATCCGTTGACAGGCACTTAGGTTGTTTCCATATCTTGACTATTGTGGATAATCCTGCAGTGAACATGAGGGTACAGATAGCTCTTCAAAATCCTATTTTCATTTTCTTCAGATATATACTCAGGAATGGGATTACTGGATCATAGGGTAGTTCTACTTTTAATTTTTTAAAAAACCTACATCCTATTTTTTCCACAGTGGCCGCACCAATTTACATTCCCACCAACAGTGCACAAGGATTCCCTTTTCTCCACATCCTGTCAACACTTGTTATCTCTTTTTGGTGATAACCATTTTAACAGGTGTGAGGTGATAATATCTCAATGTAGCTTTGATTTGCATTTCCCTATTGATTAGTGATATTGTGCACCTTTTCATATACCTGTTGGCCATTCATATGTCTTTTTTTTTTTAAAAATGTCTATTTACTTCCTCTGCCCATTTTTTTCCTCTGATCATTTTTTAACTAGATTATTTGGATTTTGTTACTGCATTGTTTGAATTCTTAATATATTTTGGATATTTACCCCTTACCAGATAGATGATTTGCAAATGCTTTCTCCCATTCTGTAGGTTGCCTTTTCATTTTTTGATCATTTCTTTTGCTGTGCGGAAGCTTTTTAGGTTGATGTAGTCCTACTTGTTTATTTTTGCTTTTGTTGCTTGTGCTTTGGGGTGTCATATCCAAAAAACTATTACCAAGGCCAATGTCAAGGAGCTAGGGCCTGGACAACACCCTGAATAACAGAAAAAGGAATGTTCTCCCCATTTTCCCAACATATATACACACTCATTCCTATACACTTTTCAATATTACTCTTGTAGTTTGCAAAAATATTCATTTATACTCTGAGGATAAATCTATCGGGGGTAACTGTGATGTTATATTATTAGTGACAGAGGTATTATCCTAAGAAAATAAGAGGGAAAATGGCACAAACATAGAGTTGGTAATAAAGAGTTTCTGGAAAAATGAAGACCCATGTAGAACCCCTGGCTTTGAAGGTGAGATGGTTGAGAAGGTAGAAACCTTGCCTTTCACCCTCCTCACTGCTGCTCATAACCAGTAGGTGTCTTATAGAAGAATGTTTACTCCACTCCCAGAAGAGGATGCTTACACTAATGAAAACAACTCTCTTTTTAGGAAACATGGTTTCTGGGTTCCAAGGGAAACACTTAGGAAAAAATGTTATTCTTAGATTCTCTTCTCAAAGGAGATTTTTTAGTGTTAGACTGTTTTACATTTTGGTTAAAATAGTAATAGATGTTCAATGTAGAATGTTTTGTCGAAAGCAAAGAAAGATCACAAATGAGCTAAGAAGGGGAATCCAGTTATGTATCATTTGCTTCCAAGTCCCTGGTTCTTAGAAGGAATTCATAGGAAAGATTGTGCCCACAGAAGCTGGAGATGGGCTCAGGCAGTAGCAAATCCTCCCTGTGTCACATTTTTGATTTTGGACACCAGATGGCCAAGATAGCCCCCTCAGATGTTAGACTGGGAAAACAGCAACCACAAGAATTGGGCTTTGGGTCGCCATGCTGACTCTATCACTTACAACTGTGTATTTTGGGAAAATTATGTAACCTCTCTGAATCTCAGTTTCTATATATGTAAAATGAGATGATGACATACATACTTCATGAGTTTGCAAGAATTAAATAAGATAACACATTTAAAATATCAGGGATGGTTTATTAGGACACTGTAAGTACCAAATTAGTGCTACCTAGTCATGGTGGTCTTGGTGACAGTACTTGATGTTTTCATCTTGATCCATGACAAATTTGTAAATCTTCACTTGTATTTTCTGGTCATTTCCTTATTAAGGAAAAACTACGCCAACTACGAGATTGCATTATTGGGAAAAGGCCAGAAGAAGAAAATGTGTCTGGTAAGTGAGATTTGTCTGTTATTCCTTTATCAGTCTGATAAAGGAGAAAATGCAAGGACTACGGAATTAGACAGGTTTGAATTCAAATCTGTGCTCCATCACTTCCCAGCTGCATGAATGGACAGCATCTAATCCCTGGTACTCAGGTTCTTTGTCTACAAAACAGGGGTAATTATAGATCCATCTGGATGTGGTTGTGTGTAAGTTAATATCTAAAACATTTTTCACCTTCTTTAACCCATAATGAACCTTCAATAAATGCTAGTTTCTTTCCTTTGGTTTCTATGAAATTTGCAAATAAGATAATTCCCCTCTAGTTTTTTTTATATGTATAAGTCATTATACAGAGTACTGAATTATTAAGGAGTCATACTTTTTTAATAAGGTTGAATATTCTCAATATAGTCAGTTCTCACAATTGTCCACATGTGGATCATTTTAAATTGTAGATCTCAGGTTGCTTTCCCCTGTAGCTAGCATGCTTCTTGGCAATGCAGATGCCCCTTGCTAATAATTAACAGTTGCTCTCGGGGGGGGGGGGGGGGGAACACTCATTTTCATATTAATACAAACCAAACATTATTAAGATGGTAAATCTTCTCCAAAGATAAACAGCACATTCCAAAATCGAAAATAAATTCTGTTGTCGCAATTGGACGACTCTTTCCCCAAGTCCTTACCCCTGCACAGATAATTAAAAACTGACAACAACTAGCAAACCTTGAAATTTCCATCTCTTCCATTTTCAGTAAGATTGCATAGATTTTAGCTAGTACTTCATGTTGAAATTTACCCTGAAAAAGTTTATTTTCATATTATTAAATTGGTATCTGCTTTTCCATAGAAAGTTCTTTAAGCTCTTTTAGAAATGTTTTCTAAAAACAGAAATACACTTTCTAAAATAATTAAGTTCATAAATGCAGGCTGATTTACAGATAACTGAGTTCTATAGATCTCCATTCTAATGTGGAAAAAGATTAAAATTTTAACAATGTATCAAATTATAAAATATATAAATATCTTCACTAAGGAACATTAGGTAGTAACAGCTAATATTTGACTATCTACTATACACTTAAATGTTATCTTTTTAATTTCTTACAGTAATCCTTTGAGGTAGACATCAGTCCCAATTTATAAATAAAGAAACAGATTATAAGAAACTAAGAAGCCCAAAGACACACAGATTAGAAACTACAACTTATTTCTTTTTTAATCCAAAGTCAATTTTTAATCATTGGTGTCTTAATTAGGAATCGGCTAGTTGCCCTTCTAACCAAAAGTAGTACCGGACAAACCCTCCCACTGTACAGAACACTAACACTGGGCAAAAATATGAGGCAGTTGATTTCAGGGAGTAGGCAATTAGCAGCGTAAGACCATAATTCCAGTGACAAAATACACAAGATGACTCTGATGATTGCCCAGGAGACTGATTTTCTGACTATAGTCTGTGCAAAGCAGGGCAATCCTTTGACACGAGGAGGCAAAGATCAGAGTTCAGGGCAGCCAGAGCTTCTAGAATGTGTGTGGTGGATCACTGAAGAAGAGATAGCTGTGTAGAGAGGTAGCCTCAGAGGCCACAGGTCTGTAGCCAAGAGATGAGCTGTACATGTGCTGGGCAAGACCACTCAGGCGTACAAGATAAGAGCTTCTAGGACACTGAAAGCAAACGGAGACACTAGAGTTTGAGCGGAGCCAGGGAAAGGCCATACTGGGGATGTTTGAGTTCTTGCCCTGACAGAGTGGAAATATCTCCTTAATACATTGTTAAAACAACTGGCATTCCGCTGTGACACTTAAGAGATGTAATGATTACAGACCATGACACCTCCTCTAGAGGACCTCCTCTAGACCTGCCTTAACAAAGCCTAAAACCAAGCCCCTACAATGTTCACATGGAAGGCAGAGTTTGTAGGCTCAGTCCCACTGAGGGCTTTAGAAAACACCATGGGCGGCTATAGATCAACACTGGAAAAAGCATAAAACCAGGCCTATACAAGTTCATGCCAGTAATCAAACTGCCTGCTAAAATGAGAACCTACACTTATAACTTATTAGAGGAATATTACAGAATCCAGAATACACAACTGATTGTCTATAATGTCCAGTATTCAATTTTTTTTAAAAAAAGGAAGACATTCAAAGATACAGGAAAATGTAATCCATAGGAAAAAAGCCATCAATAAAAATTGCATCTAAAATGGTCCCATTGTTCAAACTGAATGGGAAGAAATCAGAGAGGGAGACAAACCATGAGAGATTCTGGACTCCGGGAAACAAACTGAAAGATACAGAGGGGAGAGGGTGGGGGGAAGGGGTAACCGGGTGATGGGCATTAAGGAGGGCACGTGTGGTGATGAACACTGGGTGTTATACACAACTAATGAATCCTTGAACACATCAAGAACTGATGATATACTATACGCCGGCTAACTGAACATAATAAAAAAAAGGGCCCCGTTGTTGATCTTAACAAAGACTTTAAAGCAACTCTTATAACCACAGTTAAATTAATAAAAAATATGGTTTTAAGGAGTGAATAAATAGGTAATCTATTGATATTTACACAACATGACATGGGAAAAAATTAGAATACATGTCTGCTTAAGGTGTACATGGAAGGTTTACCAAAATAGTACATATGCTGGGATATTTAAAAAGTTTCAATAAATTTCAAAAGATTGAAATCTTCAGAGTATGTTCTCAGAAAGATTTCAGCCTTTTGAAATCTTATATTCTCTTACCATGACAGAAAGAAATTAGAATTTAATTAAAAAAATTAGAAATGTCTCAAAATCGTTAGGAATTAAGTACATTTCAAAACAACCGAAGGGTCAAATAAGAAATCACAAGAAAATATTTCAACCTGAATGATAATGAAAATACAACATATCAAAATGTGTGGAATGAAACTAAAATAGTACTTCAAGGTAAATTTATGGCTCTAAGTATTACAGTAAATATTATAGTAGAAAAGAGGAAAAACTTAAGATCAGTGATCTAGGTTTCCACTTTAGGAAACTGGAAAATGAAAAGCAAACTCAATCCAAAAAGAGATAAGAGGAGAAACTAGAAAGATCAGATTAAAAATCAGTAAAAAATGAAAAAGATGAATAGAAAAGTGTACAAAACCAAAAATTAGTTATTTGAAAATATAACTAAAATTTATAAAACCATGACAAAAATGAACTGGAAAAAAGAGAAAACAAGAGTTACCATATCAGGAAAGTAAAGTGAGGCTATCACAACAGATCCTACCGATATTAAAAAGATACTAAGGAAATATAATTAGCTTTTTGCTAATACATTTAACAACTTATATAAAAAGTACAAGTTAATTAAAAAGTACAAGTTAATTAAAATAAAAAGTACAAGTTAATTAAAAAACAAAACTTACAAAACTAAAAAAAAAAAAAATTACACTCCTCTGAACATAATATTTTACATATTCAACAAAGATGAGGCTGGGAAGGAGGCAATAAGAGCAGAAGAAAATGAGATATCAGTACACACCAAATATAATGGCTAGAATTTTTAGATATTGTCAAAATGAAGTGATTCGGCTATGGAACAACTTGATATTCATTGTATGCATTGCTAATGGAAGTGTAAAGGGGTATGGTGACTTTGGAACAGTCAAATGTGCACCTGCTTTATGGCCTAGACCAGCCACTCCTAGGGATTTTTCGAAGAAAAAAGCGGGGGAGGACATTATGTGTATCCAAAGACTTGCTCACAAAATTCATAGCAGTTTCATTTACCATGGCCAAACCAGAAACAATCCAAATGTCCAATAGAAGAAGAGATAATTATACTGAAGTATATTCATACAGTGGAATACTACTCAACAATAGAAAGAAATGCCTACTATTACACACAACAACATGAATGAATCTCACAGATATTATGCTAAATGAAAGATACCAAACATGAAGGAGTACATGGTTTAAGATTCCATTTATTTGGAATTCTAGATAAAACTAATCTATAGCAAAAGAAATCAGATCGGGGTCACTAGAGGTAATAGGTTGAGGATTGATGTCAGGGGGCACAAGGGAATTTTCTGTAGAGAGAAATGTTCTCTATCCTAATTGGGTGATGGGCACATGGCTGTATATATTTGTCAGAAGTTATAAACCTGGAGCACCTGGGTGGCTCAGTCAGTTAAGCGTCTGCCTTCGGCTCAGGTCATGATCCCAGGGTCCTGGAATCAAGCCCCGCATCAGGCTCTCAGCTGAGCAAAGAGCCTGCTTCTCCCTCTGCCTGCCGCTCCCCCTGCTTGTGCTCTGTCTCTCTCTCTGACAAATAAATAAAATCCTTAAAAAAAAAAAGTCATAAACCTATATACTTTAAAATGTTTGAATTGTACTATACATAGTGAATAATGCTAATTCAAAAAAAGAATGGAGTAGCTCAGGCTAAAAGAATATCAAAGCAGAGTAGTAAGCTTTTATTAAGTGTCTAACATATCTAAAATCATATTATCTTGGGACAAGCATCAGAAGGAAAAAAGATAAAAGTAGTAAAAGACATGGTTTCACACTTTGTGGCCAGAAATCAGTATTTTTTGAATCCAACTGTGAAATTTCATAGTCACATCAAATATAAGAAGTAGTCAAACAATTTTAAAAAAGAAAGTTTAAGATAAATATTGAGCAAAACTCAATAGAATGCGCTCTTTCTGTCTTCTAGATAAACTCACCATTGTGCACCATCCAAATGGTAAGTTTTTGGTATTTACTAAGAATTTCAGACTACAGAAAAGTACATGGTAAACTAGTTTCCATATTAATGTAAACCTAATATGATTAGGCAGGTCAGTGCAAAAACTCATATAGATTTTCTCTGTATATGCAAAACCACTTGACGTCCAAAATAACTTGGAGGTGATTCTAGAGTAGCAATGTAGAGGCATTGTTACACAGTAAAAAAACATGTGTTTTGAACTCTGATGGGCCCGGCCCTTTACAACTTACCGGTTACCACCTTTGGCAAACCACTTAAACTCTTTAGGCCTCAGTTTCCTCATATGTAAAATGGAGACCAGACTTTTACCTTGGGGAACTGCTATAAAGACTGATAATGATGTGTTAATGAGAGCTGACACTTAATAAGCGGGAGTTACTGAGACAGGAAATGAAATTGGAATAACACTTCAGAGGGTGATTCACTTTAGTGTGGGGGGGAGGAATGTATGCAGAAAGTTGGCAGGGTCAAGAGGGGCCAGAGGCCAGCTGGGGAGCTCTGACTAACCTAGGAGCAACTGTCTACAGCCTGAACCAAAGCAGTGACTGTGGGAATGGAGAAGAGCAATAGAAGCGAGCCACGGGGCTGGGATGGAAAATGGAAAGTCGGTGGTAAAGGCAAGAGGAGCAGTGACCAATGGGGAGTAGTAGGAACAAGTTTTCATTAAAAAGTGTACTTTGCAATTGGCTGATCGCCGAAAATGGGGAAAAACAAAGAAGAAGGCAGCGGCATAATCTAGTCGGGGGTTGTTATTCAAAGGTGCTGGATTGTGTTTGAACAGAAGCAACTCCCCAGCATCCTATAGTCAACTATATGGGGAAGAGAAATTAACAGCATACTTGCCAAGGGTGCCTTTTCAATATGCCCCTTTGTATCGCTTCAGTAATTTTGCCCTTTACCGACATCCTACTCAGAGCATATATTGTTTTTTAAAAGTGCTGAATAAATGAATCATTAAATATGTGAAAGAAGAAATAGTAACAGAGTTTATATTTCTAGGTAATGAAAGTGCCCGCAATGAAAATATGTTGTATAACATACCCTTCCGCAATAAGGTAGGTTGTATTTATGTTAATTTTTATAAAATGCAAAAAAAAAAAGAACTTTGTTGAGAAAGAATGTAAGAGGCTTCTATCCTATGCTCTGAAACATTTTAACAAATATGAACAAAATAGGTTACATAAGTTTTGTGTGCAAATTACTGCATGAGGAGTAATTTAAGGAAATTAACTATTTAGAAAAAAAGCAAAGGAGGAACTCAAAGGAAAAAGGCACCAAGGCCAAAGTATGGCTGAATTTACCATGTACAGACCAAATAAATCTTAGAGGAGTGATGGATACATGTTTTTCTTAGCAATAGTAATATGATGAGTCTATCTGAACCACAATGTATATAGTCCTTAAAGTCTAGCTGAGGAAAAAATGTAACCCCAAAATATTGTTCATGTAAATAGCATCACTTCACATGTAGAGTTAACTGAAAATGAATTGCTAACAAGAAGCTAAAAATAACATGAAGCAAAGAGAGCAGCCATTGAGAACCAAGACTAGTTCAAGGCAACACTGCTAATGTCCTGACCACAAATTCTTCTCCAAAAACAAGCATATTATTCCAACTATCTACATATGTGATGTAGGAAATCTTCACTATGGCTCAGGATCATGTGGCAGCTGGATTTCTTGCTAAAATTCAGAATTAGAGCCCTTGGTAAGTTCTCATAATAAACCAATTTTTAATAACCCTTTAAGCTCTCCTATGTTTTGAGTAAATCATAAGGATTCCTAAAAGTCATTTACCCTTCAGAACTGATTGACAGATTTACATTTCTGGACCATCCTGTGGCTACCAGTGAGCTATAGACCAAAGAGTCTAAAGTCTAAGGACCTGTTAAACTCATTGGACAGTAGCAGAATCATGGGGTACCACCAAGGCCTCTGAGTTTATGAAAATAGCCTTGTCAAACAAAGATCCTTCTACAAGATCTGAAGGACTATACAATCATGGCATATTTTTTGAGAACAGTATTTGGGGTAAGAGAAAATATAAATTCCCAGTACTTAGGCTATTCTCCCTCAAAATGGAAATAAAATTTGAACTCAAGGACTTTGCTCTCGGTGAGCTTTACAATGCTTCTTTCCTTTTAAGATGGAGGAATGTCTTGCCAGTTTCCTCTATGAAGCTATTTTTCTATGAAAGGCAACTATGACTTTATCATGTTTCTTTGTTCCGCCTTAAAATGGAGAAATGCTAGCTCTGTATCTTTTTCTTTTTTTTTTCTTAGCTTCCTACTCGACTCCAAGTTGAAAAGGAATTTGGTTTCTGATGCAGGAAAGATTACTAAAGAAGGTAAAATATCAGCTATATTTTTTTAGAAAGCTTAAAGCAGGCTTATTAGAGACTTGAAGGAATTATTTGTCTAGCAAACAGAATACTTTAAATATTTCATTGTCTCCTCCTGAAATGATAAACATGTGTATTTTTCAAGCTAAAGGTGATTGTTCCTTAGAAAGATTTATGTATAGGGGTGATTTTTTGCTAGCTAATCAATTTCGATTGATGATCCATTATTCACTAATACATTTCCTGTGATTTCACTTTCAGGTTATTATAATGAAACCCAAAAATCTGCAGACACTGTGCTTTCTGAATGAAGCAAGCTTGCATTTGGATTGCCTGCTGTCTTCAGGGAAAATACTATACTATGAATGCAGAAGCAAACCTCTGGATTTCACAGTTTGTTGTTGCCACAATTTATTGGCATTAACTTGCTTCAGATAGGTATATCAAGATTCAAATTGAATGCCATAGAGCAATTGCATTCTTTGACAATTCTTGCATTTCACAATGCATTTTGCCACTGAAGCAGCTGTTTCCCATTTTAACAATTGAAGGAAAACAAGAACGGAGAAGTGAAATGCTCTGTAACAAAGTTATTGCGCCTGTTTGAAGCACTAACCTGAACAGTTTACTCCTCTGTCCTTAGAATGAACGTGAAAATACAGATTTGTTTCATACATACTTGCCTTTTAAGTGGCTGGTCCATATCCTAAATTTCTGACATTCAAGCTGTAATTATTATCATCACATCATGTTTTCAAAAACCTTCCCTTAGTGACTATTTGCATATAACCTTGAGAATATTATTTTTTTAACTTTCTATATCTCAAATTAATATACATTTCCACAACCTACATTCTTAATTAAAAGGCTTACAATTTCAGCAACCTATGTCTTAGAAACGACTTACTAGCTTAGAATAGAACAGAGTTTTATCATTCTATGATTTTCCATGTATGGTTCCTGCAAATAAAATGAATGTTTAAAACTATGTCTGACTTTCCAAAATAAATGTATAATAATTAACCACTAAATTCTTCTGCTCACCAGTTTATAAAAGGAAGGCTCCTGAAAAAAAATTTTAGCTCATTTAATTTCACTGCATAAGCCCCACAAAGTAAACACACAAATGATTCTTTTCCTCACTTCTAAACAGTGATAGGAATATCTATTTAAAGTGATTCTGCAAAACACTGATCACAGGTTTCTCATGACTATTAACATTCTCAAATAAGCTCAAGTTTTAAAAAATAATCCAGATGTTTGATTCATCCCTAACAGATGATGCTTTGATTATGACACTTGGAAATCTAGTCTGTGGTTTCACATCCAAGCTTTCGAGAAATGGCAGGCCCTTCCACACACAATGGTTAATTATTACCCAAACAGTGATTACAAATCCCCTATTTATGTGGATTGTCCCACCCAAAGAGTTCAGAAAAGCAATAGAAAAACTGACTGTTTTTGTATAATTTCCTACATCTCTAAATTCAAATATATGTCTCGTCTCTAAAGTAAAAACCTCTATATTGGCCTGTGATTGATACCTACGGTTTCAAATTGGCTTTATTCTTATTAAAAGTGTGAAATCCAGTGACAGGTAAAATGTCAACTTTTCTAAGTATAAAGCAATTGGATTATCTCTTACCTGAGACTCAGTTAAGAGAGGAAGAGGAAGATGAGGCTTGAATATTATTCAGGTCTTTAACATAGATGGAAATTGAAAATCAGGGCCTCTAAATACTTATGAGCTGAGCAAACTTGAATTAAAACTATGGCAAAAAGCCCCTTTAAGAGACTTTTTCCTGAGATACTCTGGCCTTTGAATTCTTAGCACATTGTCATCACAAAGAGACATGGAAAAAAGAAACCTAAAAATAACTGAAGTCTTCCTCATGCTTCCTCTATCATGGAGCCTGCCATCCTTGCCTGATTTGGAAGATGGTTAGAGAAGGTTGGAATTGGGGGATCTGTAGGAATCCATATCATTACCTGTTACACTGGAGGATGAGATGAAAAGTAGAGAGAATGCAAGGGTGGAGGAAGACTAATCCAAATTTAGGAGTGACCCCAACTGAAAATGCCCCATGGAGACAGTGTATTTTCATCTCTGGACTCCATCCCTAACATGTAGAATACTGCCCATTAACTTTGAGCTGCAAAACAGAAGCTTTGCATTCATGCTAGGACAGGGCAAAGGGCAGGGAAATAGAAAGATGTGGACTTCCCTTGGAGATTTGGGGCATTTCTCAAAGAGCCCTAACCACTGCCAGAAAGGAAAGATCTACATGGGGAGATCTGTTGAAGATTTTGTGCTGATTCTGGAAACCTGAAAGCCAGTAGCTAATATACCTTATCTTTCCCATCATCTCTTTTTTTTTATCTTATTTTTTTATTAACATATAATGTATTATTTGTTTCAGGGGTACAGGTCTGTGATTCATCAGTCTTACACAATTCCCAGCACTCACCATAGTACATACCCTCCCCAACATTTCTTTCTTAAGTCAGGTTTGTTTCCAAGCCATTACTCCTAACTTTGGCCAAGTTAAATTCACCAGAACTCTGACTTCTAAGGAAATTTGAACTGGTACTGAATGTTATCAGAGTTTTACATTTAATATTAATTCCCTTATTTCTACCTTGTCAATTTCCTAGACTAACATAGAGGAAGCCTATATGCCAGTGGTTCCTAACTGGGCAATTTTGCTCCCCTTGCCCCAGACTTTTGGCAATATCTGGCAACATTTTGTATTGTCATGACTATGGAGAAGGTGCTTCTGGCATCTAGTGTGTAGAGAAAAGTGATACTAATAAATGTCCCATAATACACAAGGCAAAGAATTATCCAGTCCAAAAATGTCAGCAGCGCCAAGGTTGAGAAACCCTGATCTAGACTAGAGAGTAAAATGGGATTAACACTTAAAAGAATGTTGTTAAAATAAAAAATAGCTTTATACAGAATTTTCTTAAAGTAGAAACCCCTATGATAGCATAATGAATGTCTTTGTTTTGAAATGCGTATGGCTTAAACTTAAATGGATCATTAAATACTCAAAAGAATGGATAACTCCAATATATTTTCATAAATCTAACAATTATTCTGCCAACGGTGACTCCAGTTTTTAGAAAATGAGACTGTTCTCAGTATTCTAATGAGAATGACCTTGTACCTTGAGTCATCATTATATCCTATTTGTACACTAAGTATTTGCTCATCTGAGGTCCTTCTGGTTTCCTCTAAAGCTAAGGGGTCTGATTTTAATAATTTGGACTTACCTGAATTTTACTGCATATTTTTGTTCTAAATGGGTAAATATTTAAGAGAGAGGTCTGCATCGTGACCTATCTACTAGGTCCCAGCTGATCGGCTCAGAGCTGGTATAAGGCCCTACTTGCAACTCTTTCTGTAGCTGTTCTTGCCAGACATCTTGTTGGCCTGCCTTTTGTGTGGGGCTGATCTTCAAAGGCAGGGATTACCATATAAAAGACAACAAAATGTAAGATTCTCAATACAATAGACCTCAAATTTATAAGTTACAGCATATGGTTTCCTCAGTATTTTCATCTTCAAAATGTAGACAATAAATACATCTTATATAATTTCATGGTTATTAAATGACATCGGATATTTACATGAGCACTGCGGTACTTCATTCAAGAGCATGAGCTTTGAGGTAAGACTGATCTAATTTGAATATTTACTCAGCTATGGCCTAGCTGTGCAAAACCAAACCAGTTTTCTGGTATTTAATCATTGGTAAATAGAGGTAATAATACCAATGTTAGCACAGATTGTTTGAGAATTAAAATGTAAGGAGATCATTAATTTATCTTCCAAAGAGGACACATATGATGGTAAAATAGAGTAGTATTAACGATTACAATAGAAAAGCAAGTGTAAACTGGGACTACCCCAGGTGTAAGTGGAAATATGTGGTCAGTCTACTTAAATCATTTTGATCAAGGAAGACAGTTTGCAAGAAAATAATCCTCTTTGAAATGTGAATACTGTTGTGATACACTAGGCTGGCTCCTTATTTGACTGGCTCTTAGGCACAGTCTTACAGCATCTAACTTAAATCTATATCATTTTAAAAAACAATGATTACAAAGTGTTGAATGACCACCTGGGTTTCCCAGAAAGATCAAAAGTCTCAAGTGGTAAAGTACTACAGCAGTGTTTCCCAATTTGTGTTACAGAGAACTCATAGATACTGTATTAAAAAGGGGCTCTGTAAAAAAAGGGGGGGAGGGGCTCTGTGATCAAGAGACATTAGAAAGCTCTATTTATTTTAGTCCCTTTTAGAAATAAAGAAATCAATATAGTTTGAAAACTACTGACTTACATTTTGTGTAAATATAAGCTGGCCTCATTTCCCACTTAATGGGAAAAGAAAAACTGGCTGAAGGATGCCTGCAGTGATGTGTTTCGATGGAGCCAGAAACCTGAGTTTGATGGGAAACTGTGTCAAAACCAATTAAAGATGTTTGCCACGGATGGATGGTGTTGGGGGGTGACAGGAGTGGTGGCATGCTCAATACTTATTTGGCATTCAGGATTTGCACTTGGTTAGCATAAAGTGAAATATTACCTTCTGACTTTTGCAAATAACCAAAGTCAGTTTCAGTCAGAATGAAGATCATTTGTCTTCAAGCAAATGAATTAGTAAACTTATCTCTGAATAAAACACTACAATTTCTGTATAATTTTTTGTACATCTTCAAATCAACATCAAGCTTGGTTCTACGCAGAATTGGAGTGAGACCATTCGGAAATGTTGTGCACTGAAATGTGGCAAACACTGAAGCAATTTCTGTGTCCATGGAAACTAGTGGGATAGTTTTTCTCAGTCTTTTTGCCCTGTATGATAAATGACCCTTAGAAATTAGCTCTCAGCAAATTAACCAACAATTTCTTATGGATTGTCTCTTTCATTTCTCAAGGTGTAGATGGACAGGATATATCAACTCTAACAAAGGTGGTACAATTTTGCCCCTAGCACTTCCTCTTTTCTTCATTTAAGCAAAGGAAGGACAAGGGATTCCAGGAAGCATAAACTGATGCTGCTTTGGAATTCATACCTGGCACTTAGTGAAAGCAACTACAGTCATGCCAAGGAGCCTTAAGCATCCTCACAAAACATTGACAATTTGTCAAATGTTGTAAAATGAGGTGTTCTATAAATCAGACATAGCAAGTCATGCCCAGTACCTCACAGATCCTCTTTATAGGCAGACTTGGGAAATCCCAGCAGATGACCTTCATGAACAGTGACATTGAAGAACATAGGAACCTTCCTCACAATCACCATATGTTCTCCTCAGCCTGGCTTCTCTCTACTATGGTACCTTGACTGTGATGTTTTTATTTTATTTTATGTTATTTTTTATTTTATTTATTATGTTATTTTATCATGGTAAGTACGCTTAACATGAGAAGCAAGAATAGCACTCAAGATACAGAATATACCTAGGGCAAAGACCCCAAGATCAGAATGAACCACACATTTTCTGAAAATGGAAATATCACTTTTATATTCTGAATTGTGTCCTCCCAAAAATTCATGTTGACATCTTAATCCCCAGTGCCTCATAATGTAACCAAATTTGAAGATAGGGTCTTTATAGAAGTACTTAAGTTAAAATAAGGTCCTAAACTAGCAGGACTAGTGTTCTTATAGAAGATGAAATTTGGACACAGACATGTATGGATGGAAGATGATATGAAGACAGGGGTAGATGACGGCCATCTACAAGCGAAGGAGAGAAGCCTGGAAGAGATCTTTTCTTCAAGGCACTCAGAAGAAACCAACCCTGCTGGGCAGCTTAATCTCCAATTTCTAGCCACCAGAACTGTGAGAAAATAAATTTCTATTATGTAAGCCATCCGATCTGGATACTTCATTATGGCAGCCATGGCAAACTAATATAGTCAGTGTGGCCAGGATGCAGTGGGTAAGGGTGAGAGACATGGGATGATTTTATAGTGGTAAGTAGGAGAAACATCATGTAAGAAATTTGAGTTTTAGGCCCGCGGTGTCTCAGATTCATTCTTAAGGAACTGAGAACTTAATCTTCCAAAATGTCAAAAAGACCATCTTATGCCCCACCTCCCACCCCAGCTCCTGCAACACAAATGCCCAGCACACCAGGGTTTGTGGGATACAATCCATACAGTCATCTCGCCTACAACACCTACAGGCTGGGAGGGAACCCAGGTACCAACAGCCGGGTCAACAGCATCCTCTGGTATTACGATTCCAAAACCCCCAAAGCCACCAGATAAGCCACTGATGCCCTACATGAGGTACAGCAGAAAGGTCTGGGACCAAGTAAAAGCTTCCAACCCTGACCTAAAGTTGTGGGAGATTGGCAAGATTATTGGTGGCATGTGGCGAGATCTCATTGATGAAGAAAAACAGGAATATTTAAACGAATACGAAGCAGAAAAGATAGAGTACAATGAATCTATGAAGGCCTATCATAATTCCCCGCATACCTTGCTTACATAAATGCAAAAAGTCGTGCAGAAGCTGCTTTAGAGGAAGAAAGTCAACAGAGACAGTCTCGCATGGAGAAAGGAGAACCGTACATGAGCATTCAGCCTGCTGAAGATCCAGACGATTATGATGATGGCTTCTCAATGAAGCATACAGCCACTGCCCATTTCCAGAGAAACCACGGCCTCATCAGTGAAATCCTTAGTGAGAGTGTGGTGCCAGACGTCCGTTCAGTTGTCACAACAGCTAGAATGCAGGTCCTCAAACGACAGGTCCAGTCCTTAATGGTTCAGCGAAAACTAGAAGCTGAACTTCTTCAAATAGAGGAGCGACACCAGGAAAAGAAGAGGAAATTCCTGGAAAGCACAGATTCATTTAACAACGAACTTAAAAGGTTGTGCGGTTTGAAAGTAGAAGTGGATATGGAAAAAATTGCTGCTGAAATTGCACAGGCAGAGGAACAGGCTCGAAAAAGGCAGGAGGAAAGAGAGAAAGAAGCCGCGGAGCAAGCTGAATGCAGTCAGAGCGGCATGGTTCCTGAGGAAGAGCAAGCTGCTAGTAAGAGCGAGGGGAAGAAGGACGAGAGCATCCCAATGGAGACAGAGGAGACACACCTTGAAGAAGCGACGGAAAGCCAACAGAATGGTGAAGAAGGCACGTCTACTCCTGAGGACAGGGAGAGCGGGCAGGAGGTGGTGGACAGTATGGCTGAGGAGGGGACCAGTGACAGTAACACCGGCTCCGAGAGCAACAGTGCCACAGTGGAGGAGCCACCCACAGACCCCACACCAGAAGACGAGAAGAAAGAATAAATGTTGCCTTGTTTTATGTGTTCTAAATACTTTTTTAAATGAAAAAAAAAAATGTTTTTTGAGTTTAAAAAAAAAAGTTTGTGTTTTATTCTAAGTACAGTGAGAAGCCATTCAAATGTTTTAAGCAGAACAATTCATTCTCACTGCAGAACAGAAAATGGACTGCAGAGAGTCAAGAGTAGTGACAAGGTGACCAGTCAGGGGGTTTGTGAGGTATTCACAAGATGGTGGTGGCTCAGACTAGAGTGATAATTGAAGTATTTTTAGACATATTTTGGTGGTAGAGGCAATAACACTTGCTGATGGAGTTGATGTCGGGGTAAGAAAAAAGAATTTGGGTGATGCCTGAATGTTCTGACTTGAGAAATTTGGTAGATGACAGTATTTGCCAAGATGAAGAAGACAAGAGGATAAGATTTGGTGGGTTGTATGACATTGGACAAGGTAATTAATGTAATTCTGTTTCCTCCTGGGTAAGATGGAGCCAATAGTATGCCATTTCACTGGGTAGTTGTGAAAATTAAATAAGCTATGCTTATGAAACACCTAAAACTTAGTAAGTGCTCAATAAACACTGAGTTATCATCAGCATCATCATCTTTACTCAGTTATCTTGAAATACAACAAGAAACTAGGTAAAGCTGGATTCAGCGTCATCAGGAACATTATAATCAAGATGGTAATATTTCTCCTACTAAATGCGGAAGAAAAATTTTATTTAAAAATAAATTTCGGATTATATATCTAAGGTCCTTTAATCCATGGAGGCCTGTGTCATATTCTGCAAAGTTAAGCTTTAGACCCTTGTGAATGTAGAATAGTTGGAGGAAGTTTTCCTAATGTTTTTGTTTACCTTCCTAAAAAACTTACAGGAGGCTATCGTGAGTCTTCAGAATCGGGGTGCCTGGGTGGCTCAGTCGGTTAAGCAACTGCCTTCGGCTTAGATCATGATCTCAGCATCCTGGGATGGAGCCCCGCTTTGGGCTTCCTGCTCAGCAGGGAGTCGGCTACTCCCTCTGCCTCCCCGCCCCCCAGGCTAGTGCGCTTGCGCGCTCTCTCTCTCTTTCTAATAAATAAATAAATAAAATCTTTAAAAACCACACACGAAAAATAGACTAAGTGTGCTAGATGTGGACTTAGCATCCATTTTCATCCCCTTCTACGAAACCCCCTGTATTAAAAGGGCTGGAAGGCAAACCATGCATTTGTCAGTCTCCCCAGCAGGAAGGGGCTACGTGTGATAAACATTCCACCAATGAGATAGTTTCTTGGGAGATCAGGAAGATGGAGGTGAGACAGAGAGCACCTCCTGCTGCTGTGAAACAGGCCAGTACATTAGACCCATGTGGTCTCTGTGGTCAGTGGGATCCTCATCTGAGGCTCTGGTCACCAGCTTCAGGAGCTTGAGACAGTTATAGTGGCATCAGTAATGGTAACGGGCACAAGCTGCTTTCTGACCACTGGATTTTAGCTACAGTCATGTTAACCTGAATTAACTTCTCTTAGCTCTCTGAAGGATCTTACAAGGTCTTAATTTCCTGTATTACATTCTTTTTTGACTGAAATGTCTAGAGTGGCTTCTGTTTCTTAGGGATCTCTGACTGGTACATTGAGTCACATCAAGAGTCTAATTTAACTCGGTTTTTCTCTAATAAGAATTTTATCTGATAATGTATTTCTTAACTGAAATATTTTCATCTATTTATCCTGCTGTGCAGGATAAATGTGAACCTCAGTTCACATTTCAGGTGCTTATTTGATGTTTTTTAAATGAATAAATATCAGGTCACTTTCTGGGTTACCCAATTCATAAAATAATGACATTCCTCCTGGCATAAGTTCAACTTCCAAGCCAATCTAATACAAGATTCCAATTGCTCAGGTGTCTATAATCAATATAAAATCCTTTTGAACTTTATCTAATCTAAGCATATATATAATAACATAGCATAATTTTAGCTAACTTACGTGCCACGGGATCAACCAAAGCTTTATTCATCGACTACCTAGTTGTAGAATTTAGAATCCTTAAGTTATTTCTCAAGAATATTTAGTTAAATAAAATGACCCTCACTAAACTCATTTTTTGTCAAAATCAAAAAATACCAAATTACAAATTCAGGAAGAATTTCACTTACATCTAAATCAAGGCACCAGCATTAAATTATTCATTGGTTAGTTCTTCTTTTGTTAGCTCTCTTCTTCACATAAAAATTTTAGATTATGTTGAATATGATTATTTCCTCTTTAAATATGTTCAACCCCCATTATTAATAATCTTATAATCTGACTTAATCATACTTTAAATGTTCAGATTGCAGAAAAACAAACTTTAGAAAACCTGTCACCAAAGAAAACATTATCAGGTGGATACACAAAAGGAAACAAATGGGGGGAGTTGATGAATTGAACACTGCTAACAGGTGACCCCGCTAGTGTGAGTAACAGTATCATTTGCTCAGATCTATTTTCCTTCCTAGACTGTGAGGCTGAGTGGAGTAGAGCACACCTGACACCAGCGCTTAAGACGGAGTCTTGTCTATTGGATGCGGTGGTCCCCAGAGAAGACTCAAGACAGCCTTCTGACCCATCCTATTCACCTTGGAATTAGACGCTACGGTTTTCTTAAAACTAAGGGCCATTACAGGTTTTATGAAGAAACAATACACAGCTGGGAATAAGCTCTTCTTGAAATGATGCTAGTTACCTGGCAGGCGCTGAGCACCATAGTTTGATGTCCCCCAAGGAAAGGGCATGACATTATCAATGTTACCAGAAAAGTAGGCACTAATCATTTGGTGCATTTTTACATCTTTGTTTTCCACAGAGAGGGGAAGCATTAGATTGGGCAGTGTGCTCAGCCTCCTTTATTAGAAATACACTGAACTTTTACCTTTAAAATATCTGTACTCTTCTTTAGCCAGCAATCCCATCTTCATGATAGCTCTCACCCTTCCTAAAACATCTCTGTAGTTATTTGGAGGAACCCTCATGATAATATATCACATGTGCTTCTGCTGTGTCTTTTGCTAGTAGCTTTGTGAAGACACTGCTCCTCCTAAGATGACTACCACCCACAGGTGACCCACTTGATTCTCAGCCAAAATTTCATGGGAATAAAAGAAGATGCCCTTTACCCAATTTGGTGTGGCATTTGGTCACCTGGACCCAGAAGATTCTCTACTTTTATTTAAAGTTTTCCCATGGTTTGTATAAACATAGTAACTTCACCTGCTATGAAAAACCAAGCCCCTAGGGAGGCAGAGGCCATCCCCTTCCTTCCATTGTCCTTACATAAGAGGATCCCCTGTTACAGTTTTTTCCTCTCAAAATTTGTATCTTCTAATTCCTTGTTTTAAGATTATTTGTGTTTGTTACTGGCATTCCTTCTAGTACTGATAGCCGACGGGTAACATAGAAGACAAAGCCCAATCTTGCTTTTTTATGAACTTGAGCATTGTTTTAATCCCTGAGAAGTTGATCATTTTAGTTTGGTGCCATAGACTTTACCTTCCTGCAGCAAACATTTGTCACATTTGGTGATCCACTATCTGGCTCTTCCCCCTTCCTATTGGCACTGCCATCGTTCTTTTGAGAAAATTCCCAATTGACTAAAGTTTTAACAAGAAAGAAATTCCAACTTTCTCCGGTGGCAGATTCTTCTTCAGTTCAATCTTGGCACAGTCAGGTTCCTAAATTCAAGCAGACATTCATTCCTGAGATGCTGATTCAGTGGTTGAAGTCAGACTAATCTTGGGGTGGGGGCAGATTAGAGGTCAGACTGTTCCTATAACATGACCTTGGCTGCAGTTCTGCCTGCTTCTCCCCCAGAGGACCCCTAATTCCCATCCATTTTCCTAACTCAGTCCTCCAGTCTCCCATTTATTAGGTCACTTCCCAGTATCTTCCCAGTAAATTCCCATCTGCTCTAGATACCCTAGATTGGAGAAATCAAAACCACATAGATTTTGGATTGAACGTATCCCCACAAAAGATATGAAGTCCTAACCCCCAGTACCTATGAATGTGACCTTATTTAAAAACGGTCTTTGGAGTAATCAAGATAAGGTGAAGTTGTACTGGAGTAGGGTGGGCCCTTAATCCAGTATGAATTGTGTCCTTAGAGAAGAGGAGAGACACACACAAGGAAAGAATACCGTGTGAAGACAGAGAGACATGAGACAAGAATGTCTTTGGAAGTGCCGCAGCCTCAAGCCAGGGACAGCCAAGGACAGCTGACAAATCACCAAAGATAGGAAGAGCCACGGAAGATTTCCCCCCTCGAGGTTTCAGAGGGAGCGTGGCCCTGGCAACATCTTGATTTCGGACTCCTGGGCCTCAGAATTATGATGGTGTATACTGAGGTCTGTTTAAAGCCCCCAGTTGGTGGTACTTTGTTACAGCCTAGAAAATATATAATTGCAATTCTCACGAATGACAATTATGTACCATTGGTTATGCTATTCCCTCAAGAAACTCATTATATATCCATAACGCAGAAATACTTTCCTAGAAAACTGGTCATATAATGTTTTTCACCTGCCCAACCCCAAATTTTGCATACAATAAACCTATAAATAAGAATCCAATTAAAACATGCAAATGAACAGCAAGCATTGGGCAGAGTGGGATTACCCTAAGAACTTAAGTATTTTCTGTCTTACCCTCCTCTCCCCAATACTTTTCTCATCTTGTTATCCACTCATGAATAAAATGTCCCTCATACCATCAACCAGGACACTTTCTGAATGCTCTATAAATATTTACCAAAATAAAATAACTCCAGTCCTTGACAAACCAAGAGTTACATACTATACAATAACCCAGGAGATTTAGGAGATCTGGATTTTCACCATGACAACACTATCACCAACCCTGAAATGTATATAAATAAGGAACGCAGGTGTGACATTTCTTCAGTTCTATTCATATTCAATGTACTGTGAATGATTAAGACCAGTAAAATGGAAGTATATTAAAACAAAAAGGACAAGGAGATATTCATAACATGAGGATGTACAGAAGGAGCTTAAATAGTATGTGCAACTGTCTTATCAGCTGACCAGACAAC